GAGTTTTGTAGTCAAAAGTGATTCTGAAATTCAGAAGCCCACAAGCCCATGTTTGGCCCGCTAAACAAAAAGAAATCAAGCTACCTTATGGGTTGTCTAGAGATTAAAATGTTTTGCTTTATTACGAATTTAGATTTTAGACATGAACTCATGATAGTCTATTTAATTAACAAAATATTATCTTTTTCCAAGAATTAGTCAATCTAAACACAAAATCTCCAGTTAATCGTAGAAAATAATAAACAAAACAAAAAACTTTTTACAAATAACATCAATAAGCTTTAGAGTTACGAATCATAATTTGTGATTTTAAAGACCGAATCAAAAATTGAAGAACAATGTTCTCATGGCAACAAGAACTCAATCGTCACAAGTTTCAATACCAAAACCAATAGAGAGCAACAAAACTGGAATCAGTTTCATTCGGAATTAGACAACCAATCAAGAACACCATCATAATGTGATCTTAGAGAAAAAAACAAGAGTGTATCAAATCATCAAATTCCCCATTTCATAACACTGTTCTTGCTTAAAAAGAGACTTAAAACATTCATATGTTTTTGGTTAAAAAGTAGACAACACCAACCAAAAAAACAAAAACAGAAGCAAAAAACACAAAATGAAAGCACTAACATAAAACCCTAATTGTGATCTTAAGCACGTTCCCCACGAATCCTTCTTGCCAATTGAATATCTTTAGGCATGATCGTAACCCTTTTAGCATGAATCGCACACAGATTCGTATCTTCAAACAAACCCACCAAGTATGCTTCAGCTGCTTCTTGAAGTGCCAACACTGCGTGGCTCTGGAATCTCAGATCCGTCTACAAAAAATTTCCAATTTCACCACAAAATGGAACCAAAATTAACATCTTTCACCACAATAATCAACTTCTCTATCGTAATTAGCATCAATATCTAGGGTTTGATCACTCAAGGACGAAATTTGTTACCTTGAAATCCTGGGCGATTTCACGAACAAGACGTTGAAATGGAAGTTTACGGATCAACAACTCAGTGCTCTTCTGGTACTTACGAATCTCACTGATTCATCATCATGAAGAGCAAAAACCACCATTAGCTAAATTAGATTTCTCAAAACAACGATGAGATTAGAAAAGGCGAAATCATGGAAATTACCGAAGAGCGACGGTTCCGGGACGGTAACGGTGAGGTTTCTTGACTCCACCGGTGGTCGGAGCAGATTTCCTCGCCGCCTGTTCGTTAAAATCAACAATTCAGCAAAATCCGAAACCCTAGATCCCCTTTTCAAGAACGAAATTCGAAAAAGCTTAAGAACGACGAACCTTGGTGGCGAGTTGCTTCCTCGGAGCTTTTCCTCCGGTGGATTTCCTAGCGGTTTGCTTCGTACGAGCCATGGCTTTCTTCTTCTGATCGTTGAAACGAGAGAGCTTTTTGATTGAATTCAGAGAGAGGACTCAAGAAAATGTTTGATTTTTGTTTTTTTTTTGTGAGAAAATTAGGAATTTATAGTGAGAAGGTGATTAGATTAAGTCGGTTTAATTTTGGGAGATTAGAGAAAGAGGACAAGTGGTAGACGTGCGATTAGGATCATGTCCAACGGTCTAGATTTGATGAAGGAAAAGACAAAAGTCGACGTGGCGATCCGCGTCTTTGATTTTTATTGGTCAGTTTCTTTGTTTATGGATTGATTCAGTGTATTTATCAAGGCGGACTCTTAAGTCTTCGCTACTTTTATCTGAAAGTTAAATTAATTTTTGGTTTTTTCCTTAACCGGAATTTGGGAGGTCTAAACCATGTCACGGGTTTTTCCAATTAATGTAGAACCGGTATAGGATCGCATCGGCCTCTCCCACAAGGCCTTTTTTGCTGAGGCCATTGATATTAGAAAGATCACATCTCAATTAAGTAGGCCCATATTTGAGCCCAAATTGATAATGCCCATATTATGACGTAGAAGCTTGATTTGAAGAAGCAAACGATGTAGTAAGTTCTTTGATAAACTATATTTTACTCTGTTTCATGTTTTTTGTCCGAATGTGTTTTGGAATCAAATCAAAATGTGTCGCATAGTGCAACCCCCAAAACCGTTAGATAAAATTCTCCTAAAAGCTTATACATGCTTTGAATTAGGGATATTACGACTGGAAAAAATCCTCGAGGATCAAGGTAGATGTGCGGCCTAAACAACTTCTTATTATTGAACTCGTTTCAAGTCTAAATTCATCACAAACCGGACGGGTCCGACAAAATCCCTTGAACATTTTTTAAAGGTTAACCACATACCAAGCTGCAAACTGAAATCAAAATCGAATTTAATTTCTAAAATCATATTCAAAGCAAACCAGCCCGACCTACACAAGTCTAATTCGAACCATATTTAGTAAAGACTTTTCTCTCATGTGTTCAACATGTCTCTCTGTATCAGCATGTTATGATCGATGCTTGATTTTGAAGATATTTACGC